AAATCATCTCTTGCAATTGAGTATTCCTACGGTTCTGAGCTTGCAATTGAGTTTCAAGATCTCTAAATATTATTAATGATCAATTAAAAAATATGAAAACTAACAAAATTATATTTCATTTTTGAATCGGTAAAAAATGTACTTGATATTTTCAGTCAAAGATTCAACTTTTTCTTTGGCACCTTGTTTTTCAAGATTGAGCCTTTCCTCAGCTTGTTTTTCCCTATCTTTTGACTCATTTTCTAACTCAGCTTGATACTAGTAAATTAGTAATATATTTAATGATATTAGTTGATAATCTAATAAAATATCATAAAATGCGCCTATGGTGTTCAACACCCATAGTTATATTTTAGTTATATTTGTTATTTGTATAATAAAATCTTTGTTAGTAAAATTTAGTGTTATGGTTAGGGTTAGTAGTTAGGGGTTAAGATTAGAGTTTGTATTTAGTTTTTTTTTTTTTGAAACGCTGAGTATTTTACTTAGAACATAAACTATCGATTATTTAGCCACTTTTTGAGATATAATAACTATGGCGTTCAACACCAATAGTGCATTTTAGTAGACCCATTTTTAATAATTCACACACAAAATATATTAATCCGAACAACCTTCTTCAAGAATTCTGTCGAATTTATTAATTCTTTTGATTTATTTTCTAATTCAGTTTGATACTAGTGAATTCGTTATATATATTAATGATATTAGTTTAGTATCCTGGAACTTTTAAAATTAACACAGTATATTTAATAAATTGACAAACCTTTTTCAAAGATTCTTCCGAATTTATCAATTCTTTTGATTTATTTTCTAGTTCAGTTTGATACTAGTAAATTCATAATAGATTTAATGTTTATAACGAGAATATATTAATAATTCACATAAAAATAAAGTTAAATTTACAAACCTTTTTCAAAGATTCTTCCGAATTTATCAACTCTTTTGATTTATTTTCTAGTTCGTTTTGATACTATTGAATTCGTAATAGATTTAATGATAATATCAAGAATGTATTTAACACACAAATGAAGTTAATTTGACAAACCTTTTTCAAAGATTCTTCTGAATTTAACAATTCTTTTGACTTATTTTCTAGATCAGTTTGATACTAGTGAATTCATAATATATTCAATGATATTAGTTGATCTTCCTTAAAGCTTTTAAAATTTACTAGAATATATTTAATAAATTTAATGCAAACCCTTCTCAAAGATTCTTTCGAATCTGTTAATTCTTTTGATTTATTTTCTAGTTCAGTTTGATACTAGTAAATTTGTAATAGATTTAATGATATTAGTTGATTATCCTCCCAAGATAGTATATTTAATAATTAGCACAAACCTTTTTCGAAGATTCTTTTGAATCTATTAATTCTTTTGATTTATTTTCTAATTCAGTTTGATACTAGTAAATTCATAATATATTTAATAATATTAGTTAATTATCCTAGAACTTTTTAAATATATTTGATAATTCACATATAATAAAGATAATTTTGAACAAAACCTTTCTCAAAGTCTCATTCGAATCTGTAGATTCTTTTGATTTATTTTCTAGTTCAGTTTGATACTAGTGATTTCATAATATATTATAATATTAGTTGGTTTTTTAAATATATTTGATAATTCGCACATTAATTTGTACAAACCTTTTTCAAAGTTTCTTTAGTATCAGTTAATTCTTTTGATTTATTTTCCAATTCTATTGATTTATTTTCCATTTCTTTAGATTTATTTTCCAATTCTTTAGATTTATTTTCCAATTCTTTTGATTTATTGTCTAATTCATTTGATTTATTTGCCAATTCATTTGATTTGCTTTCTAATTCAGCTTGGCACTAATTAATTAATAATATATTTATAATAATATTAGTTGATTATAAACTTAACAAGAAAATATATTTAATAATTCACACATAAATAAAATTAATTTGAACAAACCTTTTTCAAAGCTTCTGTCAAGTCTATCAATTCTTTTGATTTGCTTTCTAATTCAGCTTTATACTAGTATATTAATAATATATTTATTGATATTAGCTGATTATATTAGAACTTTTTAAAATGTAAAAAAAAAAATTAATCTACCTTCTCAAGGGATTGAGATAATTCCAATATTTCACGTTGCTGACTTTCTATCTTAGCTTTTGATTCTTCATAACGTAAATCATTATCTTGACAAATACGATCCATCTCATCAAGTTCATACATTAATTGTTCATTATCATTTTGTAGAACATCCAATTGCTTTGAATAAATTAAAAATAAATAAATATCTTGAATCAAAAAGTATTTAAAATAATAATAGTATAATTTTATTCACATCTCTCATTATAACAATTTCTTCCTCGTATTGATCTTCGAAATCTTGAACAGAAGTAGAATGAGCTAACGTGTTTCTTTCCAATTCTATTACCAATTGTTCGACTTCCACAGATTTCTCGCGAAGTTGAAGTGTCAACTCTGCTACTTTGTCACGTAAATGACCAAGACTCTAAAAAAAACAAAAATTGTAAGTATTATAAGTGAATAGTTTGTTAAACAAATTCATTCCTTAAAAAGTATCAAAGAACAACTTGATTAAAGTTTAAAAATGATTTGATTTCTTTCGTATAATGAAATAACTATGGTATAAAAAAAAAAAAAAAATTTAATCACCTCTTCATATTGTTCACTAAATTCACCATTAAGGAAACGCGAAGAAATATCACCACGCGACGAAGTAGTACTAAGGGGACGACTTTTAATCAATTCTAATTCAGAACATAAATCATCATTTTCACTTGTCTGCGAAGCCAATTGTTTATTTAGACTAGTAATTTGCTGTTCATAATTATGAGAATAAAAATGATGAAAGAATAAATTATATATTATAAAAGAATTATGAAAGTATAAATTTGAAGGGACATTCAAACGGTAATTTTCAAATAATGAATAATATCAAGTAACATATATAACATACCGCTTTTAATTGTTGTACTAAGGTATTATTCTTTTCGATCTCCTCCTGCCTTGCTTTATCTATAGCTTCATTTATTTTTTTTGTAATTTCCCAATCATCAGTCATTTCATCATCTATTTCCAACACACCTTTTTTACTTATATTTGAATCAGCCATTTGATTTTTGATATTAAGTAATTGCTGACGAAGTCCTTCAGCCTCAAATAAAATAGCTTGTTTTTCACCTTTTTCTTTACGTAAGGATTCTTTAAGAGTTGCAATGTTATTATTTTGATCACCAGATAAACGATTGTCACGATTTACCAATTCTATTAATTGTTTATGTTCAATACTTTGATCTAAAAACTCATCATCATCTAAATTAATATCAGGTTTTGACATTTTGACAAATTCACGAAGACGTTTTATTTCACTTTGTTGCTCAGTGAATTTGCGTTGAATACGATCATTTTCTTGACTAAGATCTTCAGCTCGATTAATAGCTTTACGATAAGCAGCTTCTTCTGACGGAGACATACCATGTTGTAAAAGACATGTAGAACCATTTTGATGAAGAGTTTGTAATGCTTTATCAGATTCTAATAATAATTTCTTATATTCTTTTACTTCAGTTTTAAGATCATGATTTTGAATTTTTATTTCCACATTCTATATAAAATGATCCAAGGGATAAATATATATATATATAAAAATCCAAATTGAAATCATAGAAAAGTTTATATATTAAGAACAAAAAAAAAATAGTAACTATCACGCTACATATATTCTCCAACCTCTTTTAAAGCCCTTTCCTAAATAAAAATTATTTAATAAGTTTTTAATAAAGAATAAATAACATTTATATATATACCATTTCATCTGGACTTAATTTATTCAATCGTTCTTCTAAATAATAAACTTTCATTTTTAAACTAAAATTCTCCTTTTTAATCTCATCGATGACCTATAATAAAAAAGTTTAATAAATAAAATAAAAAAAAAAACGTGGCGGGAATAATAAGGTATTTTAAAGATATTTGCCCGTTCTTGCTCTTTTAAAGTCATTTGGGTCGCTCTCGATGGAGCGCCTCGTAGAGGTGGTGCAGACATAATTCAGTTTCGTAACTTTTTTAATGACGTTACGATACGATAAGCTGTTTTTATAACATTTTCATAATTCTTAAAGGCATGCCGTATCATGTGACTTATGCCGCATCTTGTGTATTAACTCAATTTAATAATATATAACAGATAATAATAATTAAAAACGATTTTATAAAAGTTCATTAATGCTACTTTTAGTCAAAATGGTTAAGATTCTACGGTAAATTATCTGTTATACTTAGCATAAACGATAACGTAGAATTATTAAAATTGTCTTTTTTGGAAGATCAATTAATACGTACGTAATATTCAGGTTCCTTTAGGCGCGAAAATCAGTAATATAGTATGAATCGACACGTTTAAATAATGGACACATTCATGCATTAATAAATTATGTACTTCAGTACTTTGTGTGTTATATGGATATAAGTACTTACATTTTATTTATGATAAAATATTCGAAAATATAATTCAATTTTTTTATCAAATACGTACTGTACATTTCGATATCTGATATTATAGGTACTGCAGTACAGTACATGTTTAATTACCAGTTACGTATTTTACTAATAATATTTTTTTACTACAGTATTAAGATTTGGAATTAGTAATCTTATTAAAAAATAAATTACAAAATTATTTTCAATAGGACTGCAAAAGGCAGTTTTTCTAAGTAAAAAAATCTTTGAGTTACTAAATAAAATAAAATCATTGAATATTTAAAGTTAAGTTTGAGTC